GTGGCTTCCAGGGTGCCCGTGGGCAGCCAGTGGGTGCAGGTTTGCATCGCTGCTTTGAAGTAGGTTTATCAGTTGATAATTGAAGACAACCCTCCTCCAGGGAATCCGGGCTTCTAGTTACTTTGCGGAAGAGCTGCATTCAAGCCTGGTTTACGTTTAACTTGCAGCACAAGTAACTTGTCACAGGCTGGAAGAATCACTGGTGGGCAAGTCCTACTGTTGGGTAAGGGAGGTTGTTACATCCTGGAATCCAAGTTCAGATCAAACTTCTTGTCAGGTTGTAACTCCTGCAAATTCTCCTTGGCCTTTCAAGGAAGGCAAAGCACCACAGAGAAGAGCTGCAGGCTTGAGTTCATTCAAATGTTTGCTGGTTTTAGAGTGAACTGGATATCCTGCAAGAGCAGTCTTAACAAGTTAGGTCTCCAGGAGCGTATTGAAAGAATTGTCTATGAAAGTACACAGGAGAATATAAAGATTCATTATCTTGCTAGGTCAGCCGGAAACTCTTCGTTTATGCTGGAAAAGTTTCTTGAATCTTCAGACAAAGTTGTTTTCCTTGGCCATCAAGGCTTCTGTTTTTAGCCAAATTCTGTGTTAATATTGATACAACTTGAATACGAAGATGGTGGGTTCTTTTTAATGAACATTTAAAGAGCTGATTATATTAATCTGAGGGTAATCAAGTGTTGATCACCTATCTGGTTACTTATATTTTATAGTCACTAATTAGGAGTTTGTAGAAGAACTGTAAATTTTTTGGTATTTTGTTCTTGTTTCTATTAGTTTTATTGTGTACAATCGGCTTCTACAAGAAAAAAATTGTCCTATAGCTATCAATTAATATCTGAGAGTACATCATAGTTTCTTAAAATATTCAAAGGTTTTCTAAAATAAAAATACACAACTTCAATTTAGTAAAAGTTGAGGATCTAGGGGTGAAGTGAAAAAGGCATCTCATTGTGTCTCCTACTCTGGAGTCATGTCAGAAGGTGCCCTTACCAAGCTCCTAGTGCATACCAGCTCATTCCAGCTGAGTTGATGTTGGATGCATCATAGCCTTGTGTACTGTTTGGTAAGAAAACTGGTATGTCTTAGCCATGCTTACCTTGTGGGCCATTAGGCTGAAATGAACCATTCTTGCCTTTAGTAGAAAAAAACAAAACAAAACTCCTTGCAGATGTATGTATGTTTGTTTGTTTGTTTGTGGGGGAAAAACAAACAAACAAACCTAAACTAGCACTTTAAACTCAGTGCATTCCTGTGCTGAGCCCCTCATGTATCCAGAAGAGGCAGCATGTTGCTGCATCCTGGCTCTGCTGTGTCTAGAAATTGGGCGCTTCAGTAGGGCTTTTTTGACACTTATTTAATAGCTGATCAGCTTTAGCTAAAAAGCCCCCCTGAAGCTCCTGATCTTTACAGATGCTGCAGAGCTGGGCCGCAGTAACATGCTATTCTTCTAGTAAAGCACAAGCAACCAAAGTGTATTTTGATCTCTTTCTGTGGCCTTTGATTTGTCAGTGACTTAATATAATGTCATCGTCTGAAGCACAAGAAAGAATGTATGTTTGCAAGAACAAAAAAATAGGATGCTGATTGTGAAAGGAATATTTTGGATTTACAGGTAGCCACAGAGTTGAGAAGTGCAATCTGAGAATTTGGCTGTGTATTCAGAGTTGGAGATCATTCTGAAAAGTGATTACTAGACATACCCATTCAGAGCCTGTTAAATATGGGACCTGATTCTGCTGCTTTTGTTCAGGCAAAACTCTGATTCCAGGTATAGATGAGTGGACTGTAATAGGCAGAACCGGAGACAACAAGTGCATTCTTGCACAAAAAGGAGCAGTTGAAGTGATGAAGAATTAGAAGCCCAATATGCCAGCTATTTTAGCATACCTAGTTACCTTGGATTTAATAATAAAACTTAACATTCACAGAGTGTTTACTGGTATACATGATTGCACTTCTAGTTGACCATTAATGCATTTTTCTAAGCCGGCTGAAGTGGTAGATACATGTTAGCCCAGTTTTACAAATAGGGACATTGAGACAAAGGTGAAGTAATGGATCCAAAACCATGAAGTCAATGCAAGAACCAGGATTAAAACTCAGGACTCCTGACTCCCACGCCTTAAGTTAAGACAGTTTGGCCAGTTGGAAACACACACACACATACACTTCTCCAAAGAAGAGCAGCCCACTGATATTGGGAACAGGGAAGCATATCATATTTAAAACCTGATTTATTGTTCTAATAATTTGTACAAGTCTAATGATTTACTCCAAGGACTGGCTTTGCATAGGGTAAAAGGAAGGTTTCCAATTAAATGCAGATCAGCTGTACACAATGAAAAATGTCAAAACAGTATCCATTTTTAGCTCTTATTAAAATACCAGTTGTTTCCAGATTAATTAATTTTTCTTCTTTATACCCCTGTTCATTTTAGGTAGGACTGCGCAAGAGCCATGCTAGTCATAAGAAGGATGGGACTTGTTTCATAGGTAAGACACTATTAACTCAGAACCACTCCCAGTCCACCAGGTGCATTCAGAGTGTCCTTAAGGAAGTGGAACTACTTCGGAGTTCCAGAGATGGACAAATTGAAGAAGCAATTAGGTTTAATCAGGAATTGGAAAGAGAGTTGAGGAGTTCTCAGGAAGCAATAGTTACCTTGGAAGACTGCAACCGTAACCTAAAGAAGGAACAGGCAGAAATGAGGAAGAAAGTTGAGGAAGCCAGATATGCGGTCCTGAACAGTCTTGGGAAAGTGAAGGAATTAGAAGCAAAAGCCAATGAAGTACCACAGCTGCAAACACACATTCAGCAGCTAGAATCAGAACTGCAGTATTACAGGTAAGCTTTCTTGATTTGTCTCAACTGTGGATCTGTGTACAACAGTATTATAGATTTATATTAATAACATTTATGTTGGTGGGCTCCATTTTAGTATAATATTGTAGTTTGGTTACTTTGTTCAAACTTATTATGGGTGTGTGTGTGTTATGTCATTTTTGGGAGCATGGCATTTAGCCAGAATCTGAATAAACTGAATTGAAATTGAATTCCTTTATTCATTAAAGAAGTCATTTGAAACAGGTAGGCTTTAGATCATACAAATGAAATGTCTATCAAATCACTCTCTCTAAACACAGCTTGGCTTGAAAAATAAGTGGTTATATTTTTATCAAATCTATTTATAGAAGTGGTTGGAGAGAAATTAGGAGCTACCTGTTCATTTACTTAGTAGGTCTCCACAGCAGATCTCACTGCATTTTTTTTGTTCGAAGTAAAGATATTACAGTGAGGAGATTCCCCAAATAACCGATACACCAAAAAGAAAAGCAACACTTCAAGGTAAACCTATAGAATCATTATTTACTCACTACTTTATTAGTCTATATTTCTACCTGTTATTTTAAGTTTTAACAGCTAATGAGCATTGTTTTAGCCTAATGGCAGGCTTGCTGATATCTTCAAAGAGATGAAACCCTGTTAGTTTGCTCTGATCTTGGAG